AAAAACCCCTGCACTCACCGGTTGCTGCAGCGGCCGTCAGAGCTTCTGAGGGCTTGTGGCAGAGCCCCCAAGCAACATGGGGCAGCAGGGATTCCCCACGACCACCACCACCTGGCAGCAGCCAGTGAGGATTTTTTTTTTTTTTTTTTAAAGCACCGGGACCCTGGGGCCTGGTGGGGCAGCCAATGACAGGGCCGGGAGAGTGGGCAGGGGATGGGGCCTATTCAATTTGGAGATTCAGCCGATTCAATTCGGGACAGTGATTCGAATCACCAAATCAAATCACTGTCCCCTGAATCGGCCGAATCCAAAGTGAATACTAGCCGCTCCACACAGGCCTATCAGAAAGTGTATGTGTGGGCCTATGCCAATGAAGAGAAAATGAAGAAGGTCTGAAGAACAAGCTGCCCAAAATGCAGCTGTAGATGCAGCAGAATTCCTGACTGCAGAAAAAATTTGGGTTTGCTGTCAGAGCTCTGGGCTACACGTTTGGTTTGGTCACAAATACAAGAATAAAAAGCAGCTTCTAAAAGGTTCTGTTTTCAGAAAGACCCAAAGTCTCCTAAATTGCCCTGGCTGCCTTCTCCTGGCAGTTAAGAATTCACACAAGGCCAAACAGAACAGAAGTATTTTCTCATGACAAAGTGCACATGACAAAACACTGCAAGTTGGTTCTGAGTCAGAGGCGGCATGAAGGAATCAAAACAGAAAGAGCCCCAAATGACAACAGAAAACATACCATGCAGTTTATGGCTTAATGCCTACAGAATAAGGCTCATTTTTGCTTTCACAAAGCAACACAAGTCAGTAATGGAGTCTCCCTACAGCTAAAGCATCAGGCCAGTTTCAAAGCCTGCTCACAGTGTTTAATTATAAGGGACACCAATAGGGTATAACATCACCACACTGTTCTAGAACACAAATCTAGGCTTTTTTAATTCACCAACTAGCTAAGCAAATGCCACTCTATTAAAATCATGAGAGCAGCTGTTAACGGACCCCACTGAACCCAGTTAGCCTCTAGCTAAAGACAAACACCCTGCTTTAACAAGCTCCCTGCAACTCAAAGGTGACTAATAATCTGGATCTGAAAGGCCCTAAACTTTGAGTAAGCCCAGACTGTAGTTTTAAAACTTGACAAGCCCACAACTCTTAATAACAATCCCAGGTTATAGCCTCAAAAGATGCTTTCTATACCCCACTTCTTCAGGAAAAAAGAAAACAAAGTGCAGGATGGATTTAGCCCATTTTAGAACCTTCCATCAGCAAGTAAAAAAAAGAAAAACATTATTTAGTTTGTCAAAGGAATTCAGGGCAATTTCCCATCAATTTTTATAAAGGTCAATTAAAAATATACAAGATAATCCTCAGGACTTTATGTGTGATCCAAGTCAATACAAGCCCTGATGTCTGAACTTAAGAAAGACAATTCCAAGTCTCACTGAACAGTGCTTTGTTCCAAGCATTGTTTTGACTACATTCTGTGAACATTTTACAGATTTGCACACCAAGCAAACTATAGAACACTCATAAGTTCAGCCCTGCTGCAACCACAGATCTCTTCCGAGACTTGTGGCATAAGAGCAAAGCAAATGTTCGGTTCCACCTCTGAACATAGGTTCACAATAGAATAAAACAAAAAGAAAATCCCATTATGCAACTAATTTGGTTTACTAACAAACATCTCTGCTAATGCATTTGGTTGGGTTTTTTTAATAAATTAACGCATTCCAAGCACTGAAAGACTAAAACGGTGTCAGAGTCATAAAACAAGTCAGCCTGTCCCTTGTAAGTGAAGACAAACACCCAATATGTTCCTAAGGACCAAGCCAAACTATGACACTGAAGTCCTCAAAAGAACTGAAGAAAATCGATCAGAATTCACACAGCTACATTCCCTTTCAGAGCACATGGTCATCTCACTATTCAGTGGAGCCTGGAACAGTTCATGCTGCTAGTGGAACTGCTATCTAGCTACCATTCCACCACAGTTTACTGGTACCTTTCCTATCAATAGGCAGCTCTGACAAGAATCGTCTGGTGTCAGCACAGAGAAGCAAAAGAAAGCAACTGCGCATATCTCACGTGCTTGCAGTTCATGAGCCTTTAATTTCCCCTCTCCCCATTAGTGTTTGATATCAAGCCCTTCCACAAAATCATCCTACTGCTTAAGATACACAAGTCCTCTAATTCCAATTGCATGGAGACCCCTGAAGTCAACCTGTTCCGTTTAAAAAGCAAGAGGGTTGGCTCCATATTTATACACAACAATCTAAATTCCAGACAGCAACTCCAAGCTGCACCAATAACTTAAGATAAACCTCTTCATTGCAATGAAGTGTTGGGATCCACGTCTAACGCCCCAGGAACACACAAGCTGTTTTAGCTTACCAGTGCCCCTTCCCTCTAAAACTGTGTTTAAAAGCACACGCAAATATTTTTCAAAATATATATTTTAAAAGCTCTAAACAGCAACCAAATATCAGGGTGAGAGGCTGGGGCGGAGTGAAAATAAAGGCAAATCAAGCATCACTAAATACAAGGGAAGTTGTCTAGCTCTTGTCTAGCTCCAACACAAGGTGTGGCCTGGCTCCCCATCCCCTTTTCAGTCCCAGATGCTGCTTCCAGATGGGTCATTTGCGGGGCTGGTGAATATGCTGATTGATGTGATGGTGAGGGGGTAGCTTTTCCACACAAGGCTGTGGTTTCTGATGTGCCACCTGGGCCGCTGCTGGAGGGAAGTCTTTGTCACCCTAGAAAGAAGCAGCTGGATTTAAACAAGGCAGTCAAACCTCCAATAAATAATGTATGTGGTGGGGGTGGAATGCATTTACATGCAACCTACTACAGCTATGCTGGCTACTACAGAGATTCCCTCCTTTTTCACAAAAGCCTTTTTCAGCATGTGGAATGATGGTGACAGATTTTTGGGGGAGATGAGAGAATGGCACAGTCCTCTCATGGCATAATACATATTTTCCACAGTTTGTCAGCCAGTTAGCCCTACAGATCTGTAAGTCTCCCTAAAGCAAATTCTCATCCTTTTCCACACTAGAATCCGTTCCCATCTAGAATGTGGGAAAGACAGGGTGACAAGTCTTATTTACACATCCTCCTGGCTTCTACCTTGGCATACAATGCCCCGTGCTTATGCCCCCTGCTCCAACCCATGTAGGACAAAACTAAATGAAAGGCTCTTGAAAAAAGGGTTCTCTGGTTCTTCCTAAAAGAGACAAGCTTATAGAGAAAAACATAGCAAAAAAAAAAATCCAGTAAAAAGATTAGTTGCATTAATAGCAACACACTACATTTGGTACTAAGCAATAAGATACATTGTCTTACCCTTGTTATGGCTCCTGATATAATCAGAGTTTGCTTGGGGGGGCTGAAAGAGAACAGAATACACGCTTAAATACAAAGAACTATCTTTTATGTAGAACATGAGCAACATTAAAAGCAAAATTACAATTTATTTCTAAAGAAACCTTTCAAAATTGGTAGTTCACACTTAGGTTCTTCTGCATTTGCCCTAAAAAGGTTAGAACAAGGAAGACAGAGGAAGATACGCAGTAGAAGTTTGCAGCTTAAAGGCAGAAAATCACGGGACAGTTCATCATTCACCACCTGCTGATCCCCTGCTTGGAATATCCTTTCACTGGGCCTGAATTCTTGCTCTCTGGTGTGTTTCAGTGAAAGTACTAAAATGGAAATAGCAAATTGGAAGTGCTAAGTGAAGCCAGATGGATGGGATGCTGCTCAGCTGGCTTCAATTTCCTAAACCTGTTTAGGAGGTGCAAATACAAAGAGAGGCAGTGTGCTGTAGTGGGCAGGGCACCAGACTGGAACTCAAGTGATCTAGAAGCTACTTCCAGTCCTGCTACTGGGCTACTCTATGACCTTGGGCAACTAACTTAACTTTTCTATACTTCTATTCCCTTCCTCCTCCATGTGGAAAATAAAACAGGAATGACATTTCACAGAAGATACAAGCTTAGACAAGCACAGAAGAGAAAGCTAAATATTACTGCAACTATATATGGGAGACTTTTCCTTTGATCATTAAAAGAGAAAAAGCTTATATAACAAATCTGGCTTTCTTCGGAGACTTTGAGATTGCTGCCATATACAAAGAGAATTCTGAATGACAGTATACGCATTTTAAAAGCATGGCTAGAATTTACCTCTTCAATTATCCACCAAGATTTTATGTTAAGGATCATATTCTCATGCAAGAGCCAAAGTTCTCATTAACACCTACGACAAAATAGGTGGCTGCTATTTCAACGGTTGTTATAAAAATCTCAGGTCTTGGCAAGAAAAGAAACTTTCAGTTCACTTTTACCACATGCATGGAAAACACAAAAGAAAATCTAAAGCAGGACCTTGTGTACAGTATTTACCATTCTACAAAAAATGTAAATCTGTAGATTAAGGGAACTGAAACTTTGAACTTCTCTTTGTTTTTGCTTCAATTGTCTAAAATAAGACATCAGTTGGCTATTTATTTTCCCTTCTTGGTGCAACCTGTTCATCAACAAAGTCCTAATTTTGTTCAGCACACAGAGCTGGGTGGCTAAATAACATGGCTCTGCCATTTCTCCACGTGAGAATGTCAAGGCTAGGCATGAATTTTCCTCTACAGGGAGCAAAAGTCCTAAGCCACTTCACATGCAGCTCAGTCAGATGAGCTGTTAGGTAACTAATGAAAGGCTTGGGCACTTCAATCTTATTTGAAATTATTAATTTTTCCTACATATTGAAGTTCTTTCTTTTCTTTTACTAAATCCATGATCCAAAGCCTTGTGCTGGCAATGGAAATGTTACTGACACGGGTGTCATTGACTTAAGTGGACTGGGTATCCAAAGAACTATTAATTACTCATATTACACAGGGGAAAGCAGAAAAAATTCCAGGAAATCCCCACAGTCAGTTTTAAGAACTAATGCTAGAATTGCCAGTTGTTCTACCTAAAATATGAGCAGCAGGTTTTCCATAACTGAGTTTCAATACTCCTCCCTTCAGATTCCTCTGCAAAATACTGTTTCTACACCATTACAGTCATGTTCTAGACCAGTGGTCTCCAAAGTGGGGTGCGTGCAGGAGGTGCAGGAGATCCACTGGGGTGCGGGAAGACAATATTAGAACTTCTATTTATATTTGTATAAATATACATATATTGGGGGTGCGTGCTCAAAATTTTTTTACTGATGGGGTGCACAATCAAAAAAGTTTGGAGACCACTATTCTAGACTAGGGGTTCCCAAACATTTACCAATGGAAGTATGCAAGACATCTGTGCAATGATGGATTTAATTTTAATTATAATAATAATTGGCATTTAACGGGTTAAAATATAAACCATACGCTGCTAGGGGTACATGAACAGCTGGTAAATCTGGAAGGGGGTACGCAATAAGAAAAAGTTTGGGAACCTC